CCATAGCGTGCGTGCCAGGGACAGGTGGAGGACGAGGACGGCGAGCAAGACGGACAGTGCGAACAGGGGAGGCGGAACGAGACTCAGGCTCATGACGCTCTGCAAGGGAGCCTGTCCGTGCAGAGTAAGGAGACGGAGCAGGTAGTGGATAGCCAGGCAGTAACAACTGCAGTGACTGGTCAGGAGGAGGACACAGGAGAGGCGGAGTAAGGCCAGTGGGAGACGGAAGGCTAAGAACCTGACGAAGTGCCGAGCCAGGTGGTGGTAAGGACGACTGCGGCTGCGGGTAGAAAAACGGTCGGAGCGGCGCAGTACTCGTACCGCCAGCAGCTCCATCACCTCCAGCACTCCCAGTGCCACCAGCTCCAGAACCTCCAGTACCTCCAGCTCCAACACCTCCAGTACCTACAGCTCTAGCACCTCCAGCACCAGCAGCTCTAGTATCTCCAGCACCTCAAGCTCTAGCACCTCCAGCACCAGCAGCTCCAGTACCTCCAGCACCTCCAGCTCCAGTACCTCCAGTACCTCCAACTCTAGCACCTCCAGCACCAGCAGCTCCAGTAACTAGAGCCTCCTCAGATTCTGCACCCATGCTAGCCGAGTCAGAAGAACGAGGAGCCTCTACACTAGCAACTCTAGCCACACACGAGTAATAGTCACCCTCATCACTAGCAGAAGCAGCATACATTGCATACATGCCAGCATGGATCGCTTCCCAATCACAAGCAAACACATCGACGCCCTTCTTAAACAACTTCAACCAATCAGGGGTGTTCAGGTGCTCACCATGCTCCTCACGATACAGGTCATCGAGGCGCCAGAAGCAGCGGGCCTCCGTGTGGTCCGTACGGCTGCAAGTTTGACCAGGGTGACCAGTGCGGCGGACGTACCCGCAGGGAGAGGGGCCACCGGAGCTGCCACGCCTGATCGCCCACGCACGAAGCTGCTGCGGCGAGAGGGCCATATGGCGACCCGTCTGCGGCTGCTGACCACCCGTAGAGCCACCTCCACCACCATCTGCACCGCCAGACGAAGCAGTGCGCGTGGCCAAACCTCCAGCTCCGCCCCCACCAGCTCCACTCCTAGTGCCACTCCCACCCTCTCCACCACCCCCCCTGCTCCCACCACCCCCTCCGCCTCCACTGCTGCCGCCACCGCCTCCTCCCCCACCACCACCACCACCCCCACCGTTGCCGCCCTTGCCCTTGCCACTGCGGCGCCTCCCACTAGGAGCAGACGCAGCCCCGACCTCCTCAGCACCAAGGAAGTCAACAGCAGCAGCGAAGGAGACAGACGACGCAAGCAGGGAGGGGGAGCATCCCTCGAAGACAGAGGGGAGGGGAGTGCCACGAGAGGCAGCTACAGCAGAGGCAGCGGACTCAGCCTCTAAGAGGTGGGTCTCAAACGAGTCCACGGTGATCTTGGTGGGATCGAGAGCGCGAAATTAATCGCGAACAGCTCGAAGGCTGTAAGGGAGGCGGGTGGTGAGGAAGTACAGAGTGAGGTACATAGGGGACTGGTTTGTAGCAAGAAACTCGGAGTCGAGAGCGGCACGGTAACGCGTGTCTAGGGAGCGCAGGTGAGTAATGAGGTCAGCGACAGTGGTGAAGTCAGACAGCTCAGGAAAGGGGAACGGCAGTGCGAGATGGCCTAGAGCAGCAGGGGCCGGGGAGGAGTAACGCTTGTCTACAGCATCGTAAAGTGCTTTCGCCATCTTAAGCTAACAAAAATGGGGACGCTGGTCGAGCGGAAGGTGGCTACGGATAGCGAGGGCAGCAGTAGCGTCGCGAGTGATCCACTGGGAACGAGCTACACGGTCAGCTGAGTCGGTAGGGGCAACGAGGGACCCCGAGGTATGCTCAAATAGGGAGACGTCGTGCTGAGCTACACTCTGGAGATACCAGTGGAGGTCAAACTGTATCGGCTGGCCCTCAGCATCAAAGGTAAGCACTGTAGGAGACGCCATAGTGGCAGCTGCTGCAGGAACAGCAACAGCAGCAGGCGGCACGAGCAGTAGGGTGGCGAGGCTTCGTCAAGGCAAGGCGGCACGGCTCGGGCAGGACGGCGTGGCGAGAGCAGGGCGACGCGGCTGCGGGTCGCGCGCGATTAGGGGGGGGGGCAGCGGGTGACACGCGGCGCTGGGCAGCGGGTCGCGCGCTGGTAGGGGGGGGCAGCGGGTGGCGCGCGGTGCTGGGCAGCGGGTCGCGTGCGGGTAGGGGGAGCAGCGGGTGGCGCGCGGCGCTGGGCAGCGGGTCGCGCGCTAGTAAGGGGCAGCGGGGCACGTGAGGGCAGGGGGCAGCAGGGCGCGCACTAGCACTGGGCAAGGCAGGAAAAAAACTAAATTTTACGGGTAGGGCAGGGCGGAACAAATGGTGGGCCCTAGGAACGTTCCTACTCTAATACCATGTTGAACTAACGAGAGATTTACGTCGAGTTAGGTCAAGGGAGGGGTAGAAGATGGGTATCGAGAGATGTGTTGTACCCCCTAAGGGGTAACTCACTACAGGCTAAACAGGCATATAAGATCTAAGTTTGACAAGCCTTGGGTAAATAGTCCTGTGAGTAGTGGGCTGGTCTGGGCGTGTAGTTCGATGCCCCCTTTTTGTAGGTGACCGTGTAGTGAAAATTTGACTCGAGGAGGTCGAGCCAACGGACCTGTCGTGGGTTGAGGTGGGGCTGTGCGCGGAGGTACTGTAGTGATTTGTGGTCTGTCCGTACTGTCACGTCTGTGCCGATCAAGTAACTGCGCCAAACTTTGAATGCGTGCAAGATCGCGATCATTTCGCACTCGTGTATCGGGTAATTTTTCTCGGGCGGGTGCAGTTTCCGTGACTCGTATGCGATGGACTGTAGGCCGATGCCGAAGTCTTGTAGTGGTACAGCTCCGATTGCGATGTCGCTTGCGTCGGTAACTACTTTGAAGGTGTGGGTTGGCAATGCGCAGTACAAGCAGTGAGCAGAGAACAATTTTCAGGGCAGAGAAGGCAGCATGCTCTTTCTCCCCCCACGTAAACGTCACTCCCTTCCGCAGCAAATCTGTCAATGGAGCTGTTAAGTGCGCCATATCGGGGACGAACCGACATACGTAGTTAACGAACCCTAAAAAACTCTGTAGTTCTGTGATGTTTGTTAAGGGGTGCCATGCTTTTACCGTGTCTAGCTTCTTTGGGTCAATCTCAACTCCAGCTTCCGAAATGACATGCCCCAGAACTTCTAACCGGTCCTAAAAAAGCTCACACTTTGAACTCTTGGTCAGTAAGCGATTCTAGTCTATAAGTTTAAACATTGCTTCTAAATCCGCTAAATGCTGCTGTTTGTCGCGACTGTAGACCAGGATGTCGTCGAGGTAAACTATCACGCACTTATCTAAAAGCGGCCTAAACGCCTCGTTCATGGTCATCTAGAACGTCGCCGGTGCGTTGGTCAGCCCGAAAGGCATCATGTTATACTCGAATGATCCGTATCTAGTTCTAAAGGGTGTCTTTGGCATAGTATGATGGTTTGGCCCTAATCTGATGGTAACCTCCCCATAAGTCGATGTTCGAGAAAAAACCTGTGCTGTTCGAAGTTGACCTATCAGTTCATCGGCTCGGAGGATGGGATATCGCGATTTGACTGTTACCCTGTTCAGTGCGCGGTAGTCGATGCACATGAAAAAACCTCTGTCCTTTTTTGGTGTGATCAGTATCGGTGCGGCAAACGGCGACGAACTCGGTCGGATGATTTTTTTCTGTAACAGGTAATCCAGCTGCTTCCTCAGTTCGTCGAGTTCGGGCTGTGTCAGCCTGAACTGCCGCTGTACGGTTGGCTATGCTCCCGGCTCTAACTCTATGCAGTGGTCATGTGTTTGCTGAGGTGAGCCCACGGATCGTATTCTGCCCGTCGCGCTGCCCCACCACACGCGCATGCCCTGCCCTGCCCTGCGTTGCGTCGCGCTGCCCGCGCACGCCCTGCCCTACCCTGCGCTGCCCCCCCCCCCCCACCCCCGTGCACGCCCTGCCCTGCGTCGCGCTGCCCCGCGCACGCCCTGCCCTGCGTCGCGCTGCCCCGCAAACGCCCTGCCCCTGCTGCCCGTTGCGTCGCACACCCTTGCTGCCCGTCGCGCCGCGTGCCCCTGCTGCCCGTCGTGTCGCGTCGCCTGTGCGGACTACCCCGGCCCGCCGCGTCGCCCGTACGCCCTGCCCTGACCCGTCGCGTCGCCTGTGCGGGCTGCCTCAGCCCGTCGCGTCGCCCGTCCGCCCTGCCTCTGCCCGTCGCGTCGCCCGTACGGGCTGCCTGCTTGTTAGAAGGAAATGCTGCCATGAGCAACAAAATGTCGGCGCTGGGATTCGAACTCGTGACCTTCAAATCTGTCCTGAAAGTGTCTCAGGACAGATTCAGGACAGTTTCTGCTAAGGGGCTGGTTATGCTGCACGCGAGTTTCAAACTGAAGACCTTTCGATTCAAGTGTCCCGAAAGTGTCTTGTCAGGACAGATTGGGGACAGTTTGGCGAAATCGATCTCGGGTCGCGTTCGGTTTGAAACTCGGCAGCGAAGTGTCGAAGTCAACGGAATTCGCACGGGAGTTACAGTCGGTGGTCGACGGAATTCTGGTCGCGGAAATTCTCGTCTACGGAATTCCAGTCAATGGAATTCGCCCAGCGAAATTTAAGGCTCGGAATTTCGCGTCGACAAAATTCAGCGCGCGACCCGGGTCGACACTTTCTTGTGTGCTTTGTTTTTGTATTGCGTCCTAGTATAAAACCAGAGAGCACAAACAAGAATTCATCCAAGTCATTACTACTGCTATGTTTGTGTGTATCTCTGGCTATAGTGGACCGTTTCCTGCAATCTTTGGTGCGTTGGAATCGTGCTTTTGAGCTCTATCAAGCTGCTATAGTAGTGGAATTCTACATGGTATCAAAGCTGCGTTATCTTCGTCGATCCAACTAGCGGCTTGATTCCGTCCTCCCGTCACTTCGTTCCTACGTTGGTGTGGCCTACGCTCGTTTTGACTACAAATGGAGTGGTTAACGAGTGTTGAGGGCTTAAGTGCCCGTCAGGAGCTGGAGGCGTCCGTTCGTGAGCACCACCCTAACTTGCGTGATGAGGAGATCGACCTCATTGTGGATGGTCATCTACTACGCATGGTTAGGGAGTGCGCGGCGGAGCAAGCACCTGCGAGCAACCAGCAAGGAGGAACCGGTGAAAGAGGAGCTGGGCACGAGGCTCCTACTGCCGTGGGCGTTGGTGGAGGAGCTGTTGCACCGACCATTGACACGGGAACGATCGGGGCGAGCTATGGCCAATTCAAGTTTGGAGTAGAGCACATCTTCGTGACGCCGCTGCTGGAGGGAAGGCACGACCTCACCGCGTGGGTCAGCGCCATCCGACCTCAACTTCAGTGTGCTGATTTGTGGCAGTTTTGCAACGGGACAGCACCAAGCCCGACCCCAAACAACCCCATACAACGAAGGGAGTACGCGAAGGGCCAAATGCTCGCATTCATGGTGCTGAATCGTTGTGTTTCTCCACCCATCCAAATGTCTATTGCTGGATTCTCTCAGCAAGAGAAAGCCGGGCAGATGGCATGGGCATACATCTTGTCTACCTATCAAGCTCGTGATGCCCTCCACGCTTCCCTACTTCAGACCCAGTTAGCCCAACTCAGGAAGGGAGATGATGAGACCGCGGAATCCTACTGCAAAAGAGCCCGCACCATCCGAGCAGAGCTGTTGACCATTGGACAGGAGGTCCACATGGCCACGTTTGCCGCTCACGTGCTGAAGGGCCTGCCACCGGAGTACGGGTTTCTTTGCCGCAAGCTCGACATTTCCAGCCCTGACATGACGGTGGAACGTGTGTGCAGCGAGGTGTTGATGGAGGAGCAGACTCTCTCCATCGAACAAACAGAGCTACAAGCAGATCACCAGCGATGCATCTACTTTCTCGGGCGCTGTGAACACGATCGTGGCTACAACGGGGGTCAACGGGAAGGAAGGAAAAGGGGGAAAGGAGCAGATGGACAAGAAGAAGGATGGCAAGCGGGAGAAGAAGGGAGCCCCCTTCAAAGGGCGCTGCTACAATTGCATTGAGGAGGGGCACATGGCTGCCAAGTGCCCCAACAAGAAGAAGGGTGCAACGCCTGCAGCAGCCGCGAACGTAGCTGAAGGAGACGGGAAGGGCGTGGCGCTCACCGTCGCGTGTTCGGCTGCAAAGTTGCTGGTCGATGATAAGGACTTGTGGTTCCTCGACTCGGGGTGCTCCCAACACATGACCGGCCACAAGGAGAGGTTCACGGTGATTCGTGACCCATCTGCAACAAAATCCGTCAAAGGGTTCGATGGTTCTATGCAGGAAGTCGCCGGTGTTGGTGAGGTTTTGCTGGAGGGCACTAACGGCTTGCGTGTGACCCTACATGATGTCCTCTTTGTGCCAGGAATGAAGGCCAACTTGGTCTCCCCTGGGCAGCTCACGGACAAGGGAGCAAACCTGCAAACCGAAGAAGGTGTGACTCGCATCATCGCATCGGGAGGACAAGTGGCTGCAACGGCACGCTACTGCCATCGTCTTCTCTGCCTTGACCTGAAACCGTGGCCAGCAAGCAACGGCACGATGGCTGCAACGGCATGCAACGGCACGGTGGCTGCAGCGGCATGCAACGGCACGGTGGATGCAGCGGCATGCAACGGCTCGGCGGCTGCAGTGACATGCAACGGCATGGCTAAGGCGGTTGCTGAAGTGGCGTCAAGCAACCCGGGAACGAAGGCAGGAGCGGCCAGCCTCAAGGCGTACGCGGTGGGCACGAAGGCAACGCCCAACCTGTGGCACGCTCGCCTTGGGCACATCCACTTCGATGCAGTGAAGCGAACAGCCACGAGCGGCAGCGTGTTCGGTATGGACCTGGAGAAAGGAGGTGAGGATATGCCGTGCACCTCCTGCCACGAAGCAAAGCTCACTCGCCAAACATTTCTGCTGCACGACGAGCGAGAGGAGTAGGTTCTTGGGCTGGCTCATACTGACGTGTGCGGTCCAATTCAGACCCCAGCCATGGACGGAAGCAGGTACTACATCCTTTTCGTGGACCATGCCTCGCGATACACCTGAGGGAAGACATTGAAGCTGAAGAGCGACGCGCTTTCTGCCTTCAAGGAGTGGGATCCCGAAGCTGAACGCCAGACCGGGATGACACTGAAGGTGTTGCGGTCGGACCGGGGAGGAGAGTTTATGTCAAACGAGTTCCTGCTACTGCTGAAGCAACAAGGAATCCTGCATCAACTTTCCTACCCCTCCACCCCCCAACGAAACGGTGTGGCTGAACGCCGCAACCGTACGGTAACCGAGGGCATGCGTGTGATGTTGGGGCACATGGGGGTGAAAGCACACTGGTGGCACTTTGCTTTTCAGCAGTTCTTTTGGGTGGTCAACCGTGTGCACAAGTCCACCCTGCCCCATGGTGTGACCCCTCATTTGGTGGTGTTCAAAGTCAAGCCCGATGTGTCCATGGTCCGTGTGTTTGGATGCATGGTGCAGTACCTCATTCCTGAGCATGAGCGTGAGGGGAAGCTTGCAAGCAAGACTCGTTGGGGCATGCATTTGGGCATGAGCATGGAAAGCAAGGGATGGCGTGTGGTGGATGTTGAGTCCAAGCGCATGGTCATCACCCGGGATGCACGTTTTTATGAGGATATGTCACTTGAACGGTGGCAGAAGTGGCGTGCACGCGCTGGTGATGGGAATGACCAGCCCACACCACCCTTTGCTTCAGTCCCATCTCTCTTTCCTGAGCCCCACGACCCCGAGCAGAATCTGCCACCACCACGTACCGTCATCGTGGTCCCGGTACCGTCCATGCAAGGGGGCGAGCAACCCCTTGATCGCTCGGTGGGCCCTTTGCACCTCCCCCTCTCGATCCACTCTCCGTAGCTGATTCGGCGCCCATGGGACCAGAGGACGGTCCCCTTGAGGACGGAGGCGATACGGCTGATCATGAGGAGGAAGGAGAGGTAGCAGTGGATGAGCGACCATCGGTGGCCCATGAGCATGAGCCTTCACATGCATTCCCCCCTCTCCAGCCCACTCCACCACCCCCACGTCGCTCCAGCAGGCCCAACAAGGGGGTGCCACCCGTACGGTTTCAGCCACCAGCCATGGCGGCCCAGGATGCGGACGACGTGGAGAACCCGTATAACATGGCGTACCTTGCTGAGGACGACTGCGACACGGACAGCGATGACGAAGTGGAGTACCCGGACGAGGATGAGGAGGAGGAAGGCGCTTGGGGAGGTGTCATCCTCGACCTGGCAGCTGCGTTGACCGGACCTGAAGGCAAGGAATGGTGGGCTGCTATGAAGGAGGAGATGGACATCCTTGATGAGCAAGGCACTTGGTCGTTGGCCGACCTACCCGAAGGTCGTAAAACAGTCGGCGTCAAGTGGCTACTAAAGAAGTTGCGGCCTGATGGAACCGTGGAGAAGTACAAGGCCAGGCTCGTGGCAAAGGGCTTTAGCCAGCGCTTCGGCATCGACTACGATGACACCTATGCTCCTGTCGGCAGCTACACCACCGTACGCGTGCTTCTCTCAATCGCAGCAGCTATGGACCTGGATTTGCTGCAACTTGATGTGAAGAATGCATTTCTTCATGGCACGATCGACCACGAGATCTACATGCAGCAGCCGCCCTACTTCACCGACGGTAGTAGCAAGGTGTGGCTCCTGCACAAGAGCCTTTACGGACTCAAGCAGAGTCCCTTTTGTGGTACAAGGAGCTGGACAAGGTGCTCCTTGTGGAGGGGTACAGGAAGAGCCTTATGGACCAAGCCCTATACTACAAGGATGGGGCGAGCGGGAAGCGCGTGTGGCTGCTAATCTACGTGGATGACCTGCTAGCGGCAAGTGAAGACAAGCAGCTGCTGCAGGACCTGAAGGTGCTCTGGCCAAGGCGTTTCAGCTCCGTGAGGTGGAGCCGGTGGAACGCTACCTAGGGCTGCAGATTGTGCGCGACCGCCCCAACAGGACACTCCTCCTGCACCAGAATGCGTACGTGGCAAAGGTGCAGCAGCGGTTCTTCAAGGGGGCGCCACCGAAGAAGCAGCCCATCACCCCTCTCTCCTCTGCCAGCTTTGCCAAGAAGGATGCTGGGCAATTTGCCGACCGAACCATGACCGAGTACTTGTCAATTCTCAGCATGGTGCAGTTTGCAGCCATCTCAACCCATCCTAACCTCTCTTTTGTGTGCAGCCGCCTTGCAGCAGGTGCACACCTAAGGACAGATGCGCATTGGCATAAGCTCTTCCGCACACTCTCCTATTGGGCTGCCTCACCGGACATGGGGCTGCTGTTCAAGGGAGGACCGGAAAGTTTGACCCTCGTGGGGTATGCGGATGCGGATGATGCGGGCGACAAGGAAAACCGGTCGTCCACGGGAAGATACCTCTTCAAAATTGGCGGAGCTGCCGTTTCTTGGCAGGCCAAGAAGCTGCAGGGTGCGACCAAACTTTCCTCCACCGAGAGCGAGCTTGTGGCTGCGGTGGAAGCGGGAAACGAGGGGCGCAAACTGATGTTCCTGCTGTGGGAGTTTCAATTGCTCAAGAAGGGTGTTCCCACCACCCTACACGTCGACAACATGTCTGCGGTGCAGCTCAGCCAGGCGGATGGGCTGCAGGGTCGCATGAAGCATGTGGACCGTCGCCACATGTGGCTGCAGGACATGGTGCGCATGAAGAAGTTAAAGCTGCAGCACATCCCCACGACGGCGCAGCCCGCGGACTTCTTCACAAAGCGGCTTGACAAGGCAGCCTTCAACCGATGCTGTGCAGCAGCCGGGCTGGTCCAGCGTGCTCCTGACAGCAAGGGGGCGTGTTAGAAGGAAATGCTGCCATGAGCAACAAATCGTCGGCGCTGGGATTCGAACTCGTGACCTTCAAATCTGTCCTGAAAGTGTCTCAGGTAAGATTCAGGGCAGTTTCTGCTAAGGTGCTGATTATGCTGCACGCGAGGTTCGAACTAGAGACCTTTCGATTCAAGTGTCCCGAAAGTGTCTTGTCAGGACAGATTGGGGACAGTTTAGGGACAGATTGGGGACAGTTTGGCGAAATCGGTCTCGGGTCGTGTTCGGTTTGAAACTCGGCAGCGAAGTGTCGAAGTCAACGGAATTCGCACGGGAGTTACAGTCGGTGGTCGACGGAATTCTGGTCGCGGAAATTCTCGTCTACGGAATTCCAGTCAATGGAATTCGCCCGGCGAAATTTAAGGCTCAGAATTTCGCGTCGACAAAATTCAGTGCGTGACCCGGGTCGACACTTTCTTGTGTGCTTTGTTTTTGTATTGCGTCCTAGTATAAAACCAGAGAGCACAAACAAGAATCCATCCAAGTCATTACTACTGCTATGTTTGTGTGTATCTCTGGCTATAGTGGACCGTTTCCTGCAATCTTTGGTGCGTTGGAATCGTGCTTTTGAGCTCTATCAAGCTGCTATAGTAGTGGAATTCTACAGCCCTGCCTGTCGCGTCGCCCGCGCGGACTGCCCCAGCCCGTCGCGCGACCAGCGCGCGCCTTGCCCTGTCCGCGCACCCCGCGTCCGCCCTGCCTTGCCAGTTGCACGGCCCGCGCACGCCCTGCCCTGCCCGCGCACCGCGCATACGCCCTGCCCTGCCTGCACGCCGACCTACTTCCAGCGCGCCGCCCTGCTCTGGCCACGCACTGCCCTTTCCTGACCGTGCACCGGCCCACCCTACCCTCCGCGCTAACCCTAGTGCCTGATCGCGGCGTCTACGCCCTGCCTGCTATGACTTCTCTTCGTGGTAGCAGTGGGAGTGGTGGCGGCGGCCGTAGTAGCAGTCGCGGTGGAGCTGTTCAGTGGGGAGTTTCTGGCGGTGGCCAGATGCAGCCGCAGCGGCGTCCGCGCGAGACCCTTACGTCTCAGCAGCTTCGTGAGTGGTTAGCTCAGCGTGACCCTGGGTGTACTGCTCGCTGCTCGTACGTCATTCGCACAGGTGATCAGGCTGGTCAGACCTGCGGGACATTTGGCCACACACAGTCCCGCTGCTTCGCCTATCTGAGCGACGCCTGGCGCGCAGAGTTTGGCGTCGCGGCTGAGCTCCCCCACTGGTTAGAGCTGCGTCGGCGCGGTGTGGATATATTTGCTCTAGACTATGACGCTATCCTTACGGCTATGTACGCTTTGCCTGCTGGTACTGAGGGTGATTACTACCTGTGTGTGCCGCCCGACCCAGGTATAGCGACTGGTGCTCTAGGTGCTAGTGAGTCTGCTCTCTTTGGTATAGAGGCTGCTACTCTAGGCGCTAGTGAGTCTGCTCTCTCTGGTACTGCGCCTGCTGAGGCCTTGCACACCTTCACACTTGACTCAGGTGCTTCTCGCTGCTTCTTTCGCGACAGTACCATAGTCACACCACTCCCTGCACCTGTTGCAGTCTCTCTGGCTGACCCCTCCGGGGGCCCAGTTCCTCCACTGTTCTCCCGTGTCCGACGGTTCACCTCCTCTCATTCTCTACGAACTTGGTGAGTACCGCCGTCCTTCAGGATGCTGGGGTTGATACCTTTACCCCTGAAGGACAGCCTGTGGCGATCTGCACGTGTGCACGGACGGGCCGTCACCTGGCCACGTTCACCCGTCGGCCTGGGTCGAGTCTGTACACACTGACTACTAAGCCTCCTCAGGTCGCTGCGTCTGGTCAGGTGTCTGCGTCAGGTCAGCTGTCAGCCCCTTGTTCTGAGTCTGAGTCTGAGTCTGAGTCTGTCTGTCCTCCGTCCGTCGGGGGTGAGTGTGCTCTTAGCATGGACGTCCTTGAGGACAGGCAGGAGGACTTTGAGTGTCTTGCGGCTGCTGTACCTCATCTCACGGCCTGGCTGCTTGCACCTGAGGGAGACCCAGATGCACTGGACATCCCGACCCTGCGCTCTTACGCAGAGGCGATTACGGGTCCCTACTCCTCTCAGTGGCAGACAGCCATGGACGCAGAGATGGCATCCTAGAA